CTAAGGGATCTTCAAAATACGTCTATATAGCCACATTTCGAATGCCTCCAATTTTTTTATAGATTGGGCTTTCAGAGTCCAAGCTTACCAAAATTCAGTGACTAGATTTGTCAAAGCTTAAGAGTGAAAAATGTCAACAACAAATAAATGAAGCAGTTTCACCAGCATTCGCAGAGGCGTCAAAAAAAGATATTAATAGTGCCTGGAACGAAATGAAATCGGCAGCACTTAACGCTGGTAAAACGTTTGTGGGTAAAAAAGAACCAATTGCCAAAAAAGACTTGATGACACCAGATATTATAAACCTCATAGAAGAAAAACGAAAATACAAAACTACAGATAAAGAGAAGTACAAGCAAATGAAGAAACTAGTAGAAAAGCAGATCAAGGAAGCTAAAGAACACTGGATGGTAGAAAATTGTAGAGAAATAGAGGAACTTAATATAAAACACGACACACATGGGCTACATAAGAAACTGAAAGAAATTACAGGAAATAATCAGAAGAGAATACCACAAGTTATACGAAACTCCAAGAGGGATCTCCAATTATCAGCAGTAGAAAAATAACAAACTTGGGAGAAATACATCAAGGACTTATTCGCAGATAATAAGGAAGAAATAAATGATACATTACCAACTAATGAAAATCTAAAAATTCTGATATCAGAGGTTAAACAGGCAATTAAAATCTCAAAAAGTGGTAAAGCGCCAGGTCCCGATGAAATTCCTGTAAAGATATTAAAAATCCTGAATGATGAAAATATAGAGTGTCTAACTAAATTATTTAATAAAATATACCACGATGGTCAAATCCCGGATGAATGCAGCAGCGTATATATAAAAAATGTGAAGAACAATTAGACAATACAGTTTGGATTTAGATGTGGAATGGGAACAAGAGAGGCAATGTGCGCAATGACGGTACTATTACAAAGATGCAGGGAATATAATAAAAACGTATTCATATGTTATATAAAAAAGCTTTTGATAGAGTCCAACATGGTAAACTCATACATGCATTGAAACACATACACCTAGATCCCAAGGATATTAATTTAATCAAAAATCTGTACTACAATCAAACAACGGTCGTACGGGTGGAAGATAGTGAGACAAACCAGGTGGAAATTCAAAGAGGAGTCAGACAGGGATGTGTGCTGTCACCACAATTATTTAATGTGTACTCCCAAATAATATTTCAGGAGGCACTATGGGAAAGAACTGAAGATGTAAGGATTGGAGGGAGCATCATTAATAACATAAGATTTGCAGACGATACCGCAATTATGGCAGAGAATATAGACGATTTACAAACTCTCCTGGAAATCATTAACAGAGCAAGCAAAAAGATGGGACTAACATTGAATATAAATAAAACCAAATACATGGTGATCTCAAAAAACCCTGTTGACAACATACAACTGACATTGAAGGGGAAACATCTAGAGAGAGTCGACAAATATAAATACCTCGGAGCAATTATAAACTCACCGTTAGATCAAGAGCAGGAGATAAAGGTCAGAATAGAAATAGCTCGAAAAGGCTTTATAAAATACAAGTCAATGTTTACAAATAAGAAATTGAGTATGGCCATCAGATTGAGGTTCGTCGAATGTTATGTTGGTCGCAACTACTATATGGGGTAGAAGCTTGGACTCTGAAAGCTTGAATAAAGAAATAGAAATGTTAAATACAATTAAAACAAGAAAATTGAAATATTTCGCACATATTACACGTGGAGAGAAATACACCTGTTCTAACTGATGATGCAGGGAAAGATTCAAGGAAAGAGAAGCATAGGGAGGCGTATAGAATGTCAGGGCTGCGCAACCTGAGAGAGTGGTACGGATGTACATCAAATGAACTTTACAGAGAAGCCATCTCAAAAGTCAGAATAGCTATGATGATTGCTGACCTCCGCCGCAGAGAAGGCACTTGAAGAAGAAGAATCAACCATATTTCCTTATTATAAAAGCAATGTTTTAAAATTAATAAAAATAAAATATATTAAATAATGCATGTTATCATTCTATAAATTGTCTTATCCAAGCAGGCATGTCAAAGCTTGTCTTGTCCTTTATTTATTGAATTTCGTCGAAGTGAATTACACAAGATTTAAACGAGTGCTAAATTACTACTGTCAATGCTGTAATACAATTCTCTACTGTATTACCAGGTTGTCTAATATCCGTATTTCTACTATACCGTTTTTCGTGAATTGTGAAATATTGGACACAAGTGGACAAGGCGAGTTTTGGAATGGAACCCCTCACTAGTACTTTATACCGGAAGTATCAAAGGGTAATATTATTATTTAGAATTAGCTAACTGCTTAATTATCTGTCTAAGGACAGTCAGTTAGAAGTAGGGGAACCTGGCACAAAATGGCATACTAGGGTAAAATGACACATCCGGTGTATCTCTAACTTGGCAACATGGCTATGCGCTAAGAAGTTTTATACAAGAGCATCACATATTGCATAATTGATGTTCCAACGGGCGTCGCGATCAGTTCAGTCGTTTACTTGTTAAAAGGTGGTTTGTGCTTTATTGAGTACCAAAATGTTTTGGTAGGCGACGTATAGTTCGCTATAAAACGTTTAAACTTTAATTATATCTCTGTTAGTTCCAGGTATGTATTGTTATTCATATTAACAGAAACATCATGTTTGGAAGCTTTGTTTGTTTAAACAAAAAATTTATTGTAAAAACCGTGTTCTTGTTCACACTTGGGTAAAACGACATATTAAATACTCGGGTAAAATGACATAGTATGTCATTTTGTCCATATAAATTTTAATAATAATATGGTAGGTAGAATATTAATGTATGGTATTTTTCTTTTTTAGTATGGTGGGACACTACGAAGGGAAAAGTACACGCCAGTCTTGGGATCCAGTACAAATGCAAAGAGCCATCCAGGCAGTCCAGTGTGGAGACATGGGCTGGTTAAAAGCATCGATAACTTTTAATGTGCCCCAAGCTACTTTAAGAAGACGATCATCAGACAAGAATAAACGGGTATCAGGTACTAATAAAGGTCTTGGCCGGTACGAAAACTACGTTCTCTGTAGAATTAGAACGAGATCTCGTAACACACATAAAACTCCTAGAATCAAGTTTGTTTGGATTATCTTGTGATGACGTTCGTTCTTTAGCCTACCAGTTAGCAGATCGAAATGGAATAGTACACCGATTTAACACAACCACTAAGATGGCTGGTTGGATTGGTTACGAGGGTTTCGGTCTAGACACCCCGATATATCCCTTAGAAAACCCGAGTCCACGTCTGCAGCAAGAGCGCAATCATTCAACAGGCCGCAAATTGCCAATTTTTTAAAACTTTTAGAGGATACTATTACAAATAACAAAATTAATCCTACACACATATGGAATGTGGATGAATCAGGCCTATCCACGGTTCAAAAACCCGGCAAAATATTTGCAACCAAGGGTTGGAAGCAAGTGGGCCTAATTACAAGTGCGGAAAGAGGGCAGCACATAACGATGGTTGCTTGCATTAGCTCAGTGGGGAATTATGTTCCACCAATACTTATATTCCCCAGGAAAAATTGGAAAAAAGAATTAATAGACGAAGCGCCTTTAGGAACTTTAGGAATAGCACAGGAAACAGGATGGATGACAGGCGAAGTGTTCCTAACATGGATGAAACATTTTAAAAAAAAATATTCTAATCCTTCTATAGAAGACAAGGTTATGCTGTTGCTTGATGGGCATGCGAGCCATAAAACATTAATGTTTTAACTTTTGCCAAAGAACATGGAATAGTAATATTGTGTTTTCCGCCGCACTGTACCCATCGTCTACAGCCGTTAGATGTATGTTTCTTTGCTCCATTAAAGAGCTACTATGATCAAGAAGTTACCAACTGGATGAAATGTCCTCCAGGCAGAACAGTTTCGCAATACCAATTTGGAGGATTATTTGCTACAGCGTATGGAAAAGCAGCTACACACCAACATGCCGTTAGTGGATTTTTAAAGACTGGAATTTGGCCCCTTAATCCCGACATATTCCCTGATTATTTATTTAATCCTTCCAAAATAACAGGTATTCAAGAAGAAGTTGCAATTCAACCCCTAACAGAATCAAAAGAAGAGAATGATAATGTTTTGCGACATCAAGATTTTCCAGATCAAGGAAACAAACCGGTTTCTAACACCTAGACCAAACTCACTTGAAAGTTGTTCTTCAATTAATCCTGGTATTCGTCCACTTGACATTTCACCTCTTCCATCGTGTTCAGGTGTCCAGTCACGCTCCAAAAAAAGAAAATCAGAAGGAACAAAAGTTCTAACGGCTACCCCAAATATGAAAGAACAAAAAGCTAAAGCACTTGAGAAGCGAGCTACAGAAAAACGTCAAGCTGCAAAGCGAGCAATTAAGAATCTGACTTTAATGACACAAGATCGCGAGGAGGAAACAAAGACCATTGTGTCAGATGATGACGAAGACGAAAATAATCCTCCATGTTTATATTGTAACAGTTTGTACTCCCATTCAAGGTCCAAAGAATTCTGGATTAGGTGCCAAAAATGCTCAAAATGGCACACTGTGCTTGTGCTGGTATCTCAAAATCGTGCAAAAAATTTATTTGTGAACTTTGCTAATTTAGTTTATATGACATTTTATCCATGTGAGTGTGTCGTTTTAGCCGAATATACTTGGATAAAATGACATAGCAACGTTTATTTTGTTTCCTTTTTTTAATTAAAAAATATTGTGTTGTTAAGAGTTTTATGTTCCATGATCTGTTCTACTTCCAAACAATGAACAACATTTATGTTTTTTTTAAATTTTTATTAAAAAAATAAAAAAGTTATTGGACGACAAAAAAGTAGTATATCATTTTAGGCCAGGTTCCCCTAGTTGGTGTTCCCTATCTACTCCTAGTGTATGCCTAGTTGCCATTGAATCACCTTGTATAGATCACTGTACAATAAATAGTTCGGTATAAGTTAGTACAAAAAAAGTTTTTTACACATAAACAATATGTGGACGATCTCTATTAAAATTTAATTGTTCATATATATTTACAGAACTTTCACCATAAGGGTCCCAGGATGGTAAACTATGATATTCATTATGAATAATAATTGGATTTGGCAAAATATATTTTTCTGCCTGTGCCGTTTCATATAACTCAGACTTTTTGTTAATGTTTGTGGAAGGTAAATTTTGAAGACTTTCGTGAATAGATAAATCTTTTGTACTTAATTTGGATTTACGTTTCGGAGCCCAATATACAACTCCACCTATTACTATTAAGATAAAGAGAACGGTTAGAGTCACTGATACAATGGCCATCCAACCATTCGAACAGTCCATTTGGCTTTTGGTGACATTCGACAAAAGCGCCTCTTTAAGTTTTAGAGGCCCGTCGCACTTGATATCGTCCACGTCGAGTAACAGGTCATAATTCGTAAATTTCGCATTTTGGTCTTTATTCGTACTATTTGATTTCGAGGGTTTTGATTTGTACTCTTGGCTAAGCTGCCACAGCCACCCCAAGGAGCAATTGCATTGCAGTGGATTCCCTCCTAAGTTGAGTTCTCTTAATTGATCTAAAGGAAAGTGAATTGCTTCTATGGTTTGGAGACTATTATAACGCACACAGATAGATGTGATTTTAGGGTTACCATGGAAAAGACGTGTTGGCAATTTGCTTATTCCTATATTGTAATTTAAATTTACTTTTTCTAAATTAATATTGTCAACAAATGCTCTTGCATCAATTTTTTTTAACGTTTCTAGGCGATCTATATGAAGTATTTTCAAATGAAACAAACCTCTAAATGCTACAGGTGGAATATCACTTATAAAATTACCACTTAATTTTAATATACTAAGACTAGACAGTTTGGAAAGAGATTCTGTAGGTATAATCTTGAGATTATTATTACTTAAATCCAAATAATCAAGAGCTACAAGACTTGATAATCCACCAGAATGAATATTTGTTATAAGATTATCATCTAAGAGTAGGGTATGGAGTTCTGGTAAGGTTGGCACTTTCCCGTCTTCTACTTCACGGATATAATTTTTAGACAACGATAAATAATTTAAGTTAACTGTATCAACTAAGCAGTTGGTTGGTACTTCTAAAAACTGGTTATCGTTTAGATACAATTCTCTCAAGTTCTTCACCGAAACAATAAACCTTCCTCTAGATGAGCCAGTTTATTTTCTCGAAGCTTAAGAACAATGAGGGAATGTAGTTCGCGGAATGCTGGTTCCTGTAGTTCTCCTAAATTATTCCTACTTAGGTCTAGGTACGTCAACGCTTTAAGTCCTTTGAGAGAATCTTTCGTTATATTTTCTATTTGATTAGTGCTTAAATCTAAGTGGGTCAAATTTATTTGAGATTCGAAATTATTATTGCCCAATGTTTTAATTCGATTTCTCGATAGGTTCAAAGTAACTAATTTTTCGTAGAACGGAAAGGAAAAGTGAATCTGCGATATTTTGTTATTAGAAAGATCCAACTCATGCAGTTCTGGGTTTAACTGAATAGGAACGAACTCCAAATTGGCAGAAGAACAAGAAGTTGTAAGAATATCATTTTCACACCTGCAAGCAGCTGGACAAATAGCTCCATCACTATTTAATCCAGTCATTGCCAAAACTAACACCATTATTATTGCTTTCCAATACATTAACTGGATTTTGTCATCCTCCATGGCCAAATCGCTGCATCGTCATGACACCTAAAACAAATTATTATTATAATTATTTATTGAATTAAAATAATTCTATAATACATATTTTTAACACATTTTATAGAATACTAGCTAACCCGTAGAACTTCGTACTGCCTTAGAATTAAATATTGTGTAGGATAGACCGGGGGAATCCCGACATATGGGGCAATACCATCACAGTGGGTTTTGGCTTTATTTTTAGTTGAACACGTCACCGTATAGTGCTGCTGCTGTAGTTTATTATACCATGGTGCTGCTGCTTAGCGTGTGACACCACAGTTAGCTCTCAGTTAGTTTCTGTCATCCAAGCAAACTATAGTCGGACAATTTATTAAATTAAAGGTGACTAATCTACAAATTTAACTAAACGGTAGCGGCAACCATGTAAAATGTCAGCAGTAAATTCTTCTTTTGTTTACTAAGTTAATTAACTAAGTTTTAAGGTACCTAAGTAAAGTAAATTTGAGGCAAGTTTATTTTTTTATATAGTATTAACCCATTAACGACCACTGAATATACAAAAAGAAATTTGACAATTAATTTATTAGATTGGATTAAAAACACATAAATTAAGACTAATTTACAACCAAAAAGATTTTTTTTTTCTCATTTTCAAGGAAAACAGTACAATTTTTAATAAAGGAACATGTATCTTAAATGTAAATTAAATTTTAAGGTGAAAATTTTTGAAACATTCGGGGTGTAGATTCATTCTACACCTTTTACATACATAAATGGTATTAATTTTGCACATCCTATATTTTTGCACTATCGTTATAATGCACCTAGTAGTGCACTTTTTGTAATGTGGCCAATATTGTCGAATCTGGTTTCATCTGGTAAAGCAAACTTAGATTGACGTCCATGTACTAAGTTTGACACTGATGTAGCGGTTTCTTCACTATTATGAATTATAAATATAAATATTTGTAAACTATAGAATGCTTCCAATTACTTTTTTTATAAAGAAAGGGTGAAAAAACTTTAATATATGCCTTGCCTCCATGGTTGGTTTTTATATTGTCTAAATAGCAATTAGACTGATATTGAATTCCTACTGAGCACGAACGAGTATCTGTTGTTATAACTTGAGACACATTTGGATTTACTATTTTTTGCCTGGTTTTCTCTTTGGACGTTTTATCTGTGGTTCAGAGGAATATCATAATCAGAATCATCACAAACTTTCTAATTTAATCTTAGCGACAAATAAACCACATTAAGTGAGTCAGCATTTTCACAATCTGAGTCTTCTTCTACCAAAGCTATTAACTCTTTAGTAGTTAGTGCCATCTTCATTTCATATTTCAAGAATTTATTGAAATAAACAAATGCACTACTATATACATGCATTCACATGATAATAGCTTACTTAAATTTAATTTGTATGAACTTCATAATATATTTTTATATTTATATAAACAAATAAACACAAGGAATATTTCAAATTAAGCTAAAAAAGAAACAAATATAACGTTTACAGCACACAGCAATTCTATAAATAAAGAATTATGTGTCATAACGAGATCGAATGTTAAAATTTTAGATTGTTTTAGTCTAATGAAAAAAATAAGTATTTTCCAAAGTTTTCTGTTTTTTGAAGTTCTGTATTAGGTACTTTCTAATAAGAATAAAATTTTATTTTATTTTGTTAGACAACTATAAGATACCTTTTAAAAGACACATGATAATTTAATAAGTATATCGATCTTAGATTTAATTTTTACGTAATTACTTACGTGTTTAAATAAATAATTACAAATTTTTTTGGTACGCCTCTGCAAAATTGGTAAGTGGAATATGATTTCGCTGAAAAGTTATCGTTAAGGGCTTCGTTAAGTGCAATGTTGCCAAGTAATCATCTTCAATTAAAAATTGTTTTAGTATAGTTATTTTATTCTGAATTGGAATGTGTTTTATTAGTTTTTGATCTAATTATTAACTTCTGTACAAATGAAGGTACCTCTATACCAAATTATATTATAATAAAAACAATTAGATAAATAGAAAATGCATATTATAAAGATAATTTTAAAGTAGAATTGTGTAACCGCTATCTTGTTCTACAGGGGTAATGCCGATACACCAATGAGGGGAATATTGACAGGTGTCGGTATTACCCCATTTATTATAAAATTAAATATTCAGTTATTTTATACCCATGTTGCTTTTGATGTGTTCTGGATGGTGAGATCGAGAAAAAGAACAACAGAAAGGGACAAATGAAATGAGGAGTCACTAAAAAGGGCATTTGAATTGGTTCAAAGTGGACGATCCGTAGAAAGTGTTACCACTGTATTGAATATTCCAAGAATTACGTTTCATAACTGTCTCAAATCTAATTCTACCGAAAAACCAGCCTTGGGAAGGAAATCGTACTTTTCAGCAGAACAAGAAGCTATATTAGCTGATCACATCAAAGAACTATCAAACCAGTTATGGCATTAGTTTGACAGACTTACGGAGACTTGCGTATGATCTTAATGAAAAGTTAAAAATAAAACATAATTTTAATACAGGTATCAAAATGGTTGGGGTGGACTGAGTTTTCGGATTTCGTAAGAGGAATGCTACTTTAAGCCTAAGACAGCCCTCAGCAACAAGTCCGAATCGAGTTATTGCCTTTAACAAATCTGAAGTGAATTTATTTTTTTCAATTTGGAAGCAGTTTATAAGAAACAATGTTTTAAGTCCACTAGAATATTCAATATGGACGAAACCGGTATATCTACGGTCCAAAAACCTGGAAAGATTTTAGCTACTAAGGGCCAACATCAGGTGGCCTCTGTTACAAGTTGGGAAAGAGGCAGAAACATCACGATTGTCTGTACGTTGAGTGCGTCAGATGCGTACATACCGCCCATGTTTATAGATTCTAGGCAGAGAATGTCACCTCAGTTAGAGAAAGGTGGACCTCTTTATGCAGTGGCTCACACATTTAAAGATAACATAAATCCAATAGAAGAAGATCTCGTCTTATTGATCATGGACAATCACGGGAGTCACATATCTCTTGATAGTTATGATTATTGTAGACCTAATTATACACATGTTCTTTAAATACCACCTCACACATCACATAAACTACAGCCTTTGGATTTGTCGTTTTATGCCCCCTGAAGAAAGCATTCAACATACAGTGTGACAGGTTCTTGAGGGAAAACTAATTTTGGAAGATTTCTATGTATTACATAGCATATATATTTAATGAAGATTACTTGAAAGTTGCAACGATGGATAAAGGAGTTTCAGGGTTTAGTGCTTTAGGGATCTTATCGTACAGCTCTGAAAATTTACTGATATAGACGTTGTCACTGAACAAGACACTCAAACTCCAGTCGTCGTTGACTCTGAAAATGTTTATGAACCAGCACTTGGTGCAACTCTTCATGAACACAATCCTATGGGGTCACCGGGGAGCACACTATATCACTGGGGAGCTTGCAAGCGCTAACGAGACTTGTGTCAAAACTTATCAGATTTTAAAACATAATCCAAAAGATACGGTGCAGAAATGTGAAACCAAGACAACAATCAGCCTAGATTTAAGTGAGATTTATGAAAATCCATTACCTGGTAGTTCGAAAACGAATACTGTACCATATTCTTGTTCAAAATCCTCTGACAATCTGTCTCATTTCAAAGACATTTTGGAATCAGTATCACCTGTTCCAAATCATTTAATGATGATAAATCAAATCTAAAAAATTCAAGAAAACAACACTCAGTAATTATGACTCACACTCCTATGAAAACGGTTTTGGAAGACACAAAGGAGAAAAAAGAAATTAGGGACTTAAAAGCCAAGCGTAGACTAGAAAAATGTTATATAGGATCCAAGGGTCAACCCAAATCTGAAGCTAAAACTTTTGAAAAGTGAAAATAGTAAACAATTAAAAGTTGAAAATAAATCCCAAATAAAATTAATTGGGCGCAAATTAATTTTGAACAAGATATAGATGAATCAAAAATATGTGATGACAACGAACTTGATGACAGTTTTGAATTATTTTCCGAAAACACTGAAATGTGTTTGTGTGGTGGATGTGTGGTTTGTGGTGAGTGGTGGTGGTGGTGTAAAAACTGATCTATAGTAAAATTTATGGTATTTATATACAGATGTGTGTTTTGTTGGCAATGGGCTCACGCTGAGTGCAGTGGGTATGATTCTTAGATTAACGAAACCACGTCTGTGACGAAAATATTGAAGATCTTCAGAGACTGGTGAACAGAATAGCGGAGTATGGAAAAGAAGATGGTCTAACAATGAATGTCAAGAAGACGAAATTTATGAGAATTTCGAAAACTCAAAGAAATAACGAGAATTTTCTAATAAACTGGAGAGGAATATACCTTGCTCCAACTGATTATGCAGGGAAAGATTCAAAGAAAGATAAGCATAGGGAGGCTACGGATGTACATCAAATGAACTTGTCAGGGCAGCTGTCTCAAAAGTCCGAATAGCTATGATGATTGCCAACAAACGGCATCGATAGCAAAGCAAACGATAAATCAATATTAACAATGAAGGATACCAGTATTATGTCCATATTATATGTTATCATTGTTCATATTTTATTCTCAACGAAAAAAAAAACAATTCTGAAAGGAAACAAGTCGTTCTATCTCCCTTAAGATTTGTTTTATGTACTTATATTTTTACAAAGTAAAGACGGTGTTTAATTTAGTTTCAGATTATAGAGCACTTCTAAGATAGCACGGAACGTGTCACAGCATGTTAATCTTGAGAATAAATTAAATATACCCTATCAATTCCTTACGAAATTAAACATCGCACAGTCACAAAATAAAACTTAATTTGCATCGATTCGGGAAGAGATTGTGAATGCAAACAACTGGATATTTTTATTAGTAGTACACTTAAGTCAAAAGAGTATGATGACAACGACGCGAATAAAGCAGTAAGATCAGAA